CTGGTTGATGAAGTAAGCAATTTTATTGTACCAAGTGCTCTCATCATGATATGCTGCTTCACCCCAGGTTTAAAACAGTATACCAATCAGTCTTGGACCACAGCCACTAAAACCATGAGCCAAAATAAGTGCTTCCTCTTTGTTAGTTCATTATCTCAGGTGTTTTGTATAGTGATTGAAAGCTGACTGTGTTAGATAAACAACTTGGCTAGGGCTCACATATTCAAAAATTTCAGTCCATAGTCAGTTGGCACATTATCTGGGGCCTGTGGTGGGGCAGCAAATGTTGGTGAAGAGTGTGTGGTAGAGCAGTCCACTCACCCTATGGTGGCTGAAAAGTACAAGGGGAGAGAAAGAGTAGGAGTCTCATTATTCCCTTCAAGTCATACTTCAGGCCTCTAACTTCCTCCAATCAGGCATACCTCAAGGATCCAAATTCCTCCAATTGGGCACACTCCAGGACTCTAACTTCCTCCAATCAGGCCCCATCTCTTAAAGATTCCACCACCTCCCAGTAACACTATGGTCTGGTAGCAAACCAAGAGGACATGGACCTTTGAGTAACACTTATCCAAACATCATGAATCTGGAAAAGTCTATAGGAAAAGAGGAAATATCCAGATGTATGGTTTAACTTATGGTAATTCTGGGTCAATTTGTGCTAATACATTATCTATTTCCTGCTAGAGAGGTCAGGGTCACTAATATGATAGGGCAGGTGGCAGTTTGTTGAGTTGCTCTAAATCTATCGTCTTTGTAAAAACAAAACAAAATGGAAACTTAATCTTCATAGAACCCTTCCTCCTATTGATCTGATGAATAATTTTGAAAATTAGGAGCTCCTACCTACTGTTCCAATATTTTCACAAAATGTGTATTTTTAGGCTCTGTTCCTATCCTATGATCTCAAAATTTCTAGTATGCAAAGAATGAGAATATATGCTTTTCATAAGTTTCCCAGGTGAATATACACACCAAAGTTGAAGAAATTCTGATTTAGGACATGGAGTTCTGTTTGAAACACTGTGCTGACTTTCAGAACAGACCACAGTACTCAACAACAAATATGAAGTGTGATAAAAAATAAAGCATTAAATTTCATTAGTTCTTGACTCATCAAAGACAGAACTCAGTCAACTTGATACCCCTTCCCTAAGCTTAGTCAGTTTTCCCACCTGTGCCTCACTCTCATGGGGACCTATCACACTGATACTGCTTCTGAAGTTCACCTTGTGAATGTCAAAATCTAGTGACAGTTCCATCTCCCATGGCTCGAAAAGCGTTGGCCTCTTTTCCATACAGTGGCCATGGAGTTATTTCAAAAGTCAGGGGAAATGTTTCTCTCTTCCACACAGCATTACAAGTTGTTACCCAGGAGCCAAGGAAGGGGTTCTGGCTTCACACAGTCCTTGGTGTAAGAGAGACACTTTCTTTTCTACCAGAAGCCCTTCTTCCCACTGATTCAAGTCCCTGAACCCTGACTGATGGAGGATATGGCTTTGTCCACATTAATTTCCCCTGTCCCTACACACCCTTCAGGAGAACAAGAAAGAACCAGCCATTTGATTCCAAAAGGCCAGCCCATACCTTCCTCAGATTACTTCCTGACAAGTTTAAGTCATAGCTAATGAGAGAGAGACACCTGCTCTCATCTGTCCTTACCACCTCTGGATTTCATCCACTTTCCTCTCACTTCTGATAATCTGCAGGATGATTATTCTAGTGATTTCTTTTCCATAGCCTTTATTTCCAGTGCTTAATCCATGTACTACCAATTCTGGCCTTATTACTTTGAAAACTAGTCTTCCAAGTGATGGATGGATCTGGTCAGAAATATAATTTTGTCTTTGTTCTATGTAGGATGGGTTAAGATTGCATTTCTTGTTCTGTGAAGTGTTTAAAGCCCAAAGATCAAAGCTGTTCATCCATCACGCTCTCATACCCACCTCAAATGTCTGGCTGCAGGACTGGGCTTGGGTAGTCAGGTGCTGGGTGAGAAATAGCTATTTTAGGAAAAAGAAGCCATGCTTTTCCTTTTTCTCTGTACCTGTTGGTGCATGTTTTTCTGGGGACATGGACATCCCTCTAATAATTGCTGTCCTTTCCTTGTTAAAGGAATTACAGAGCCATGATACTACACACTGGGCAGAATTTAGCTCAGTGGCCATTTTTAAGTTCCTTACCCAGAACATTTTCATAGCAGCTAACTGAATGAATCAATGAACTCAAGTAGATAGAAGTTTAAAGCTAATTCATATCTTACTCAAAGTCCAAAACAGAAGGAGATCGATTTGCTTTCTCCACATTTTCAATCTGAGGTTCTTAACAAAGCTTCATCACAGTGTGGGCTAGTCAGTGATCTGATAAAGACTGCTTCATGTTCTCTTTCTTGAACTTCGGAGTTAGTTGACTTCAGAATTGTCAACTCCATAGTATTTGGCATAATAGCAGCTACTAAAAGCATGCTATTGCAATAACCTGAGCCATTTCATCTAGGTGGCAATTTGATCATGTGTGGATATGATCATCAGATGGTAAATCAGTTTTATCTTTTAAAAAATGTCCTGTTTAATGACATTACTAAAAGTCTTTGAGGAATCCATAAATTGACCATGAAACACAAACATTTGTTGCTGAGATCAATGGCGAGGAGTTCCCCCTGGTTCCATTTAGAAGAGTTTGATGGTTCCCTTCAAAGGGCTGGGATGCTCCAGCACAATAAACACTTTGAAGCACAATGCTTTGTCATCCTCCTGCCTTAGGCTTGCCTGTTTCTGGCATACATTAGCAATGTTTGCCTTTTCTTTATTTTTTTCTGTATTTCACAACGAGAGAGTTTTGCCTTAATGATTCCCTCTGTTCCCATGTGAGACCAAGATTTTCAAATAGCTTAGGCTTTGCTACTCCACTGTGTTGAGACAACTTCATTAATGAAAGACCAATTCCTTGGGGGTCTTTTGTTGCCACATTACAGTATTTGTGTTAGAACATTTTATCCCCCACATCACAGTGAGGCAGGCACAGCTGCCATCATAACAGTAAAAATTACAGCAGCACACTAACTGGCCTTGGGTGGCTTTCTTCAATACTTTTCTGACAATGATCAAACTTTTCCTCTACACTTCCTCTGCCTTCTTCCTGAGAAGAAACCAGCTTATACAAGACAATTCTTCCACGTTTTTATTCAGTCTGTTTGCCTAATAGTTCCCCAAACCACCTCCAAATCTTAACAGTCAAGTTTTCTGCAAGAAAGAACATTTCTCTGGGGTCCATCAGGTGAACTGGAAGTCACGGTGGTGCTTCCAAGATCAAGGCCCATCTTGAAACAGGACATTGTCAAGTAGGGCAATTGTGCATTTCCAAAAATGTCTTGAAACAGCTCTGGTTTTATGCTTGTGCATAAACAATTTGCCTTTCCTATTTTTTTCACTGTAGGCTCTAATTACATGACCATGAAAGAAAGCCTGAGAGGGTGTAATGGAGAATTTCTAATGAGTCTGCCTTCCTGGACCAAAGAGAAGAAAAATTCAATCAAGGCAGAAACACTAGAATTGTCTAAAGGGCAAAAAGGCACTATTCCTTACAAAAGGAATTATTACATTTTTCTATTCTCTTTTGACAGTTGCTTCCTCAGACAATGGTCTTCTAGAGGATTGAGGCTCTTTATGACATGGATTTAGATATGAAATCATGACATTGTTTCTCCTCCTTTTATAGAGTACATGTATATGCATATTAAAAATACTTTTGTTTTCTTTCAGTCCTTTTTGTCTAAATTATGAGAACATCTATGTAAATTTAATAACAGTGTTACTCATTTACAAGCCAGTGAAATTTTAACTTCATTTTTAATTGTCAAACTTGGCAGGAAATGAAGGCTAATGTGCCTGCTCACACGGGCACACACTTGCCTACACAGTAATATCACTGGACCCATAAAGTACTGTTACAAAAGATTTCCTCTAGCAAAACACAAAAACAGAATACTAACAGTATAAAACAAAACTAATAATTCTCCTTTTCTAATTCTAAAAAATTGAAACTTTCCTACTGAAGTAAAAAGGGGTTGAAATGAATTCACATGAATTTGGGATTTCAGTTGGTGGTAATGGTGAGTAAAAAGGCTCTTACTAAAAATTATGTATCTTCTATACTCAATTCAACCCCTCTTTTTCCCCTCAGGATATAAGAATGTTAACACAAAAATGGAATTATAGGAAAGCAAAAAGAAGATTCACTTTAAACTTGATTATAGACTTGGTTTGGGATTCTAGTTCCAATTAATATTTCTTATCTGTGCCTGAGAGTCCTTGGAAAAAGCTGAGGTAACATCTACCATGAAAAGTGGTTAAAACAATAATAGGTGAATATCAAATGAAGGGACACATGGAGAGGTTCTTGGTTCTCAGGGCCTTTATGAACACTATTTTCTCTATAACCTCTGGGATAGGCAAAAATACTAGACAAAAACTGTAGAAGAAAAGGTTGAAGAATCAATTAATTCTTGACTTTACTTTTGATTCTGAATGAGTTCTGTTGGTTCCAGTATCAGAACTAGATATGTTTTTTTTTACAGATATGTCGTTCTTTAGCTCTGGTTGTTCTATGTGTTGCAGTTTTCTAGCCAGAAAGGAACATAAGAGGAAAGAAGAGAAGGGAGAAAGAAGGGAAGGAGAGAAGAAAAGGATGTTTGTTTATTTCTTGCAAATAGTTGCCACTACAGTTAGAGAACTAGGAAATGAACAAAATGAATAAAATAGAAATATTGTCAGCCCAAGCATCTGTAACTTATTATAAGCCTCTGCCATGGCAATACATGTTCTTTTTCTGCTTGAGCTCTCTTACTCCACACTTTGTACGCTCCTTCATAGGTTGTTCTTCATCCCATCCTCTTCTAGATAATTACAGTAGAAACAAAATGATCACCCAGAAAAAGATATGGTAATATGTGTGCAAAGTAAATTTTGGAAAAAATCAATAAATAAGACATAAAATAAAAATAAATACATCCCAAACAGGTCTTTTTATTTAACATAAGGCCAAAGAAGCTATCAGGCGTTGCTGAATACTGTCCACTAGCTATACAAAATATTGTCTGCATGCCTCGCAAACACCAAAATATCCGCTGGAAATGCCATAGAAATAAATAACTTCTGCTATAAACACATGAAAACATATCAAATTGTTATCTCTTTAAACATATTGTAAATAAAAAAAATTACCAGTACTTCTACACAATAAATATTAAGAAACCATTGACATAGTTGAAATGCACTCATATAAATTAACAACTTTAATTACATTAGCCAAATAGACATTGGTTAAAGAACTGCATGTAGTATGCCAAAGGAAAAAAAAAACACAAAATAAAAATAAAAACACACAAACAAACAACATCAACCACAGAACATAAAACAATTTTTTTAAACAAAACAGGCTTCAGATTATCTTGGCTTTCATAATTATATTTTTCTTTTAAAGAAAAATATCAACTCATTGTCAATGCACTGTTTTCCAAAGCATTTAAATAGAGGGTAAAACCCATTGAAAGTTAATACAGAAGAAATGATTCACTTTATGCATAAAAATAAATAATAACGTAGCTGAGACATGTGGTTTGTTTCTGCTCTTGAAGATGCGAACAGCTTCTAAGCATTCATTTTCTCTGACCCATACAATAGCTTCTCAGTAATACCGGGTTTATTTTAAACACATACAATGTCCACCCCCAAACCTTCTGCCCACATCTACAAGTTTCATTTATTATGTAGGTTTTCGGGGTGACTAAGTTTTCTCTACATTGAAAGGGGAAGTTGCCTAAAAGGCCCACAGGAAATCCTGTTTTCGAATGAATGTGATCATTTGAATCTCTGTTTAATGCAACTGAGGCATATTTGTCTGTATTTAGAGTCCCCTCTTGAAGCCCAATCCTACAAGGGTGAAAAATCTTTTTTTCCTTGTTCTAACTTTAAGGAGACTGCAAGAACTCTTCTTGATAATGGAGTGTGGAATCAATCTTAAATAAACTTGAAAGAGGCTGTTGTGCTGGGATACAAAATCCCAGCACGTGCGTCGAGGTTTGCCTTACTCTTTTGGGAAAAAAAAAAAAAGAAAATGAAAATTCAGCCTATAAAATCTTCGTTATTTTGAGATATTGAGGACAAGTGCTTTTTAGAGCTTCTAGAATTAGTGTGGGCAGATACTTGAGAACATAGAGTTCAACCCCAGAGTAAAAGTGGCAAGGTAGTAAGATCAGATAGAGATACCCTCCTTTATCATGGGCTATAGAGTATGAAGAACCTAAGAGGATAGAATTTAAAAGCTTTTTAATTTGGCCTAATGTGGCTACGTGAAAAGAATGGTTGTTCACAAGGCTTTGTAACTTCTGCGATTGTTAAAGATGGTAAAATAGTATCTTCCAATATTATTAAAGATGGTAGCAATTTGTAATTCTATAACAAGGCCAGATAAATTTAAATGAAACGAGGTTGACGTTTGTGGGGGTGTGATAACCCAACCATGGCCACTCACCAAACCCCAGTTTATCCCTGGTGTATCTGGGACTTACAGGACTTAACAAAATGCCAGATTGATTTGAGGTGAATGGGAGCTGCACAGAGCTGTCTTTGTAAATTCCTATTTTTCCCATGGCCTTGACTTTCTGCACCACTGCACAGTGAGCCAGGACTTATATCCTCACACTATTTCCCTAGGTTCCAGTGTTATTTCCAGTATCAAAAAGAAGCAGTTCAAAAGGCCCGCAAAGCTTTTTGTTAAAATTGAAAAATTGGCCATTTTCTCCTCGCCTCAGCTTTCCTGACCAAGCTCACCTTCTCCACATGCATAATACCCAAGGTCTATAGACCTTTATTAGGGTCCACTGTGAGCTTTTCCCACAGTGCAGGCTGTTTCCTGCATAAGACAGGGTGGGCCCCTAGAACAATAAGTCTATGTGCTCAGTAACAAGACTAAGGTAACCTGCCTGCATACCTCCTCGTGTTATACATACTGATTGAGTCTAATTTTAAAACACGTTTTGTAATATTAGGCTTCTCACTGATAGTTCATTCTCTTCCAACTATCTATGAATTGACACAAACATCACCATTTTACAGAATACTGGTGAATGTAGGCTTTCCTAATTAGAATTGTTTTCCAATTTTTAACAATTTTACGAACTTTAAGTCAGTAAAAATAAGGCTCTGTATTTTAAACACATAAATGAATAACTTATTAGCTGCTCCAGGCAAGGGAAATACTAAAATAAAATAGAGACACCTAGCTTTCAGCATATACTTTGATGCCTATTAGACATGGGTTTTTGGTTTGGTTTGGTTTGATTTGGTTTGTTTTGCTTTGTTTTGCATCTGAATCAATACATAAAAACTTACATGCCAAGAATTTTGGCAGCAAATTAAAATATTAGAGAGTTGAGCTGGGGATGTAGCTCAGTGGTGCCTTGCCTGCCTGGCAAGTGCAAGGTCCTGATTTCAATCCCTGGTCCAAAGGAAAAAAAAAAAAAAAGACTATATATGAGAGTTGTTCTACCACCTTCATCCCCGCTTCCTCTTAACTGTTCTCTTCCTCAATTTCCACTCTTTTTTAACTCTTTCCTCCAAAAATTTAGCTTTTAACTAGTAACAACAACACTAATTAACCCCACTGGTGCAAGTAATATCTCTCACAATCTGACCTCAAATAAACAAAAAATGCACCCACCTCTTTTATTCTGGCCTGAAGTTCTTTTTTTCCGAAAAAGTTTCTGATTTAAGATTGATTCCAATATTCCAATAGATAATAAATATAAAGTGAAAAAAATCAGCCCATAGTTTTGATTAGCATCCTGTTTTCCCCACAGGGGATAACTTGTAGGAGATGAGGAACAAGAAAGACAAAAGAATTTGATCCCTGTACATTTATAGAGGGCCTTGTTGAAGAGTCACTGGAATTTTCAGGCTTTTGCCATCCAAATTTTTGAAATGTGCCCACCTAGTTCAGAGTAAAAGCAAAAACTATAGCCTATCCTTCTTAAAAATACTGTGTTTTGCACACAAACATTCATTGCTTTAAGAACATTAAAAAAAGACAACCTGAAGTGCTTAAATCGTGTGTGGACATGGTACAATACATGTATATATACACACAGGTATGCGTATGCACAAGCAATGTATAGATACACATACAAGCGTGTAGTCTCATGAATCTGATTGAACTTGATATCCAACAGTGTACAACTACTGTACATCCAGTATGAAATGTCCTGTTTCATGGATGTCAAAAGAGTCAAAAACCAAACTTCTCAGGTTGTTTAAGCCTGAACACAATCCACCCTCCTCAAGCTTCACGCTCAGCCCCTGACTCACGGATGGTGAATAATACCAATCACAGACAGAATGTTTAAAGGCTCACACAAATGTCTTTGGTGTATGTGTCTATTTTTTAAGGTACAAAATAATAATAATAATTATAATTATAATAATAAAAATAGCTATTTTGTGTGCTGTAGCAGTTCTTTTATAGCTCACATTAAGTGCAGCTCTTAAGTCCCACCTCCACCCCCACCCGAAGAAAATACTTGTTAAATAAGGGTTAGACAGGTCAAATACCATTGTAGTGCAAATAGTAAACGATAAAAAAAACAACATTTACAAAATATAGAAATGTTTGGATCCAACAGATGGACAAACATATTCCTTTCAAGTATCTCTCCTTGAAGAAAATAAAAATTAATCAGGTTATTTCCAATACAAAAAAGTCTCTCTTTTTGTTCTCTCTCAGGTAAACAGTTTCAAACGTATTAGGTTGCATAGTTCTAAGATCAGAAGCACCGTAACGAATTGTAACTTGGTATTCATTTTTCCTTGATCTTTCTCTCCTCCCATTCTTGTCGTCAGTTTTTTTTTAAATGTTGGTTTTGTTTTGTTTTGTCTTGTTGCAATCGTGGTGCAGAAAAAGAATGTGTGGCTGCCTGCACACTGTTGCTCTTTTACCAGTACGTGTCTGTAGTTGTGTGGGCAAATGCCTGTATGTGTATGTGTGTGTCTGCTGATATACACGGAAATAGTGTCGCACAGACAAGCTGATGACCTGGGTGACTGGGTGGGACTGGCCCTTTTAAACTCATGGCTTTCTAGACGTTATTTGGGTTGTGCTAGTCCACAGGAACACAGACTAGACAAATTGACTTTGAGGTTCTCGAGGGAACCACAGCAGAGGGGAGAGGACAATACCCCATTTAAACAACTGATGTCATCAGTGTGATTTTGGAAGAAATGAAGGACCCCTTTCTCCCTGTCTCCCCCAATTCCTGCCTCCTTCACTGCTGCATCTCTGAGCCCTGGCTAAGGATTTTTTTTTTTTCCACATCTTCCTTCATCTGTTTCGTAGGTTCTGTTTTTAGTTTAGTTTTTGTGGTTTTTGTTGTTTTTTTTTTTAATTTTTTCAAAATTTCTATTTTTTTTTCTGGTCGTTTAACTCAGAAACCTTAAAAAAAAATCTTCATTTTTGCCACTCTCTTCACTGGCAACTCTAGCTCCCTTTCCCCCAGGCCGGGAGACTCTAGGAGCATCCGCACTCCTCCACAATCATGTTCTGAATATCCTTTTTGATGATGTTTTGGCCATCATCGTAGTACAGCATGGACATAGGTCTCAGCTTGGTGGGCACACAGCATGACTTGAGGTTGGCGAAGGGGCTGTGACCCCGCATGCGGTAGTGGTTGATGACCGTGGAGTGGAAGGAAAGTGAGGACCCCGAGGTGCCTGCTATGTGGCTGGGGCACTCACCCTCGCAGTAGTTGGCGTGGTAGCCAGAGGGCGCGATGATCCAGTCATTCCAGCCAATGTCTTTGAAGCTGACAAAGAACTGTTTCTTACAGCAGATGTTGACCTTGCCGTCACATTCCAAGCCGCGCCGTCGCCTTCGGTGAGGGTGATCTTCAGACTGCCGGGCCTGCAGCATGAGGAAAGGTCTGTGAGACTGCTCCTTCTCCTCCTCCGCTGTGCCTTCACCACCATCCCTCTTCTTCCCGTCCGCCTCTTCTTTCTTCTTCCTCTTGCCCAGGAGCACCAGGCTGGCCCCACTCTCCTGGCACTGCTCACAGGCAATCCGCACGTCCAGGGAGGTCTTGCCCTGGTCCAGCAGCCTCTGGATGCTGCTGGAGACAGGGAAGATGTGCCAGGTGCTCTTCCGTGCATCCACCACCTTCTCCGACAGCAACAGTTCACTCCTCTCCCCCTTTAAGCCCACTTCCACGGCCTCATCCCCCGTGTCCAAGCTGCCCTGTGGGTGCTTCTGCTGCTGAAAGAGACGGATGGTGACTTTGGTCCTTGTCCTGTTGGCCTTGGGGACTTTCAGGAAGAGCCACACTTCTGCACGCTCCACCACGGACAGGTCACTGCCTTCCTTGGAAATCTCAAAGTGCAGTGTCTTCCTGGCTGCGCCTGAAGAGGAAATGACACAAAAGAGAACAGGGACATTGGTTCGCTCCAGCACTCACATCCAGTTACTGTACTCTGTCCCTGTCCGGGCAAGCAGAAGTCTAAACCCTGGTCAGCACACTGACAGCCATAGGCCACCTGCTTCAGGATGGCCACCAAGCTAAGAATGGTCTCTACAGTCTTGAACGGTTTGAGAAAAAAATATTATGTTACATGTGGAGCTTATCTGAAGTTTAAACCGGTGCCTGCAAATAAAATCCCACTGGAGCACAGCTACACAGCGATGCTCGTGTCTTCATGTGTCGCCTGTGGCCATGTTTGCCCCGTATCACAGGGCTGGGTAGAGATTTCGAACCACAAAACCTAAAATATTTACTCTGGCCTCTCACAGAAAAATGTTTGCAGAGGCTTGTGTTAGAATGAAGAGGGCCTAGGGGTCTTGACTCTGTTGACTGGCTGCTTAATCTGTTTCATCTTCCATAAAGTGGGAATGACATAATGACATTTGACCTATGATTTCAGATTTTGGAAGGATCAAGTGTGCTAACATAAAGAAAAACAGTCTGTAAGCCCCAGTGAGCTAGGGAAATATTTGCACCCAGAAAGACAAGCACTCTCTCCCCCAGCCCTCTGGTGGGTAAACGTGGGCAGCACCTACTGATCATATCTCATGTTTGTCACCACCACCCCCAAGCTCATTCCTGGGCAACTCGGGCGCAGTATTCTTTATCCAATCTCTATGGCATTGGCAGACCCCTTTCCACTCACTTCTGTTAAGCCACTAAAGGAATCTTTCCAAGGGCTCTGATGCCACCTCCTCTTCTAAGTTCATCCTTGAGTCCCGATTGCTGTCAGCATCCCACAGAGACTTCCAGCCCTGCCCAGTCCCCTGTCCTGTGTGGTCCAGCTAAAGGTGATTCCCCAGGGTTTGAGAATCCTATGAGTAACCCTTGCTGCTCCTGCTGCCTAGAATACTACTGGCCCTGCTGGACTCCCAACACACTGCCCTTCCTTCATGGCTGACTTTAATAATGCAGATTGGACAGCAATTCCTCTAGGAGCCTTATCTCCCCTCTGTCTCCTCCATTACCACCTTCTTCTCAAGTCTCTTTAAGACATCCGAGATTTGAGGTCTGTTCTATCTCCTTCACTCCTATAGCCTGGTGTTTGGCAGAGATTAGGCAATTGCTTGATTACTAACTAACCAGATGTGATGATGCGAACCTGTAATCCCAGCACTTCGGGAGGCTGAGGCAGGAGGATTGCAAGTTCAAGACCAGCTTGGTAACTTGGCAACTTAGAGATATCCTGCCTCAAAATAAAAAATAAGAAAGGACTGGGGATGTAGCTCAGTGCAAAGGCCCTGCATTCAATCCCCAGTACCACACATATGCACACAAAAGAAGGCATCCTTAACATTGAGTTATATGAAATTAATAGAGCCACCTCCTACCTCCCAAGCCCTCCATCCCTTTAGAATGCACCAAATGAGCACCAAAAACACATTTCAGATAGCAACTGCTGCTGACCCAGGGGAAATCCCTGTGTTTTCAGTGTGGTTGGATTCAGCAACCACTTGGTACTACTTGACTCTAAAATTAGAAAGTTGTCTCTCGCTCTTTTTATATGCACCTGCAGCCTGATTATGCAGTTCCATTTACTACATAAAAGAAGAAGGTATCCAGACTCAAGCTCTTTGATTAATCAAATATTTTCCCTCATTTCCAGATATCCCCCTGGGCAGTATGCAGAGACATGCCTTTTTACCTGAGTGTGTGCCTACTTAACAACTGTTCACTGTCCATGGATCCCAGGGACAAATCTGGGAAACATCTCCAAGAAGTTCATTCTAGAAGTCGCAACTCCCTAAGAGGATCTCCCTGCCTGGATTTCTATAGCTAACGGAAATCCAACTGTACTTATCACTCGAGGCCCTGAGATGTTTACGGTACTATAAATTTTAGGCACAGTTTCAAGTTCTCCACAGCAGAAGGCAGCCTTCTCTGAGCACTGTGCACTGCCGACTCTGTTCTTAATTTAACACAGTCTGCACACTGTGATTATGATAGTGGGAAAATCACAGAGGCCAGGGCCAAGAAGGTCTACATATGGACACGAGGCGTCTTTGGCATCTTCCTCTAACCTTGCCACTCTGATGGCAGCAGTGGCTTGGGAGTTCCTTCGACCTCATGTCCCTGGCAGGAGTTGAAATGAATAATAAAGCAGAGTTTATGATTTGATAGAACCCAGAGTGGGGAGCAGCAAGGAGTGAAGCTGTCTTATTTTAGGAAGCATGATGATGACTTTGAAAAACAAAATGAATCCTATACTGCCCTTTGCAGAGAATGGGTGGGGTTTTGGTGGTTGTTTGTGTCTTTAAGAAAAGGAAAGATTCCAGGAATCAGAGTTTAATCATTTGATCTAAAATGGAAAGGAACAGCTGATTTCTAGGTGGTAGGGTCCTGCCCTGCTGAGACCATGGAGAAATGTCCCCAGCCTCTGCTGGAGCAGCACGCAGGTCCCTCCCAAGTGGCACCTCTGCCCTCCTTCTGGAGAATGCTATCAGGCTACCTGCTGTTCTCTCTGTACCTTTAGGTAGGGCAGCTTCTGAAATCCTAAACTGCACAGAGTGCCATTCTAGAGAGACAGTAGCTGCTAAATTAGAGAAGCAAGAGACCACAAGGTTGCCTTTTGGTTTTCTAGGAAAGAACACATGATCAGTGCCCTGGATGGGGAGACAGGAGAGTTTCAGGGACCACCCCCCCCAGGTCCACTCTGCACTCCTCCATGCTGGGAAGGGGGTGAGGGTGAAGGGGGTGAGAGTGAGGGGCGGGATGCCAATGCTGACCCCACATGCTGGACCTCTCACACATGAAGTCCAGAGCTATCCCGATGCTTGGGGTTGGCAGATAACAGAGGGTTAATTGGCAGGCTGGAACAAGGACAGCGGCATGTGAATTGCTTTTGTAGCGCCAGCAAGGCCAGAGGCCAGAGCTTCCTGTCACACTGGCCTGCAGGCAAGACCCCCATTTCACAGGAGCAGGTCTCTCATGTGCGATCTGGCCCCACCCCATCTTCACAGGCAGCTGTACTTGGAAGCAAATGATTTAGTGCTCCTGAGAGAGGATTGTACAAAGAGAGTACTCATTAGAGGGGGCTCAATCTGTCAGGTGCTGTTATGTCAGGATCACAGAGTCATCAGAAAATTACTTTCATGCTGGTCTTGGCTGATAACCCACTGTATGGCATCGCCCGTGTATTGTGGAGGCTCTGGAGCTGATTTGTGCATCGGTTTACTTATCTGAACGGAAAGACTGCTCCCTGCATTCACATCCGCTGCCTGTATGCTTTCTCTCTCCCCCATGTTTCTGACATTTGGATTTTCCCCTACTAATTGACATGCCTGCCGTCTCCTTCTCCTGGTGCCCATTTCTGGAACTGCTATTTGTATATTGCATGATGTTTTATCGGGGGAAAATAAAACAGATCCAATGTCATGAAAATGCTGTTTGCCATAATGCTCAGGAGGACAGGGGGAAGAGAAAGAGTCAAGTTTTCCTACTGTCTACCCCATGTGCAGGTACATTTTACAAGTTCTATTGTATTCTGACTTATTAAGCAGTGCATATTTTTTTTTTCTTTTCTTTTACATTAGCTCATTGCAGGAAGGGGTGGGGAGGACTAGCTGGCTGCAAGCTGACATGGGATTACCGTTTATCAGAGCTGTTGGTTTCCGAAATATATTATAGCCCTCAGATATCTCAGGGATGAAAAATATAATGAATAACAGGACAACTTAGCCGATTCCCTTTATCTCTCCATTACCTGAGAGAAATTACTGTACTTCAGCATCCGTGAAAGGATACCCCAATCTGCAAATCTCTGTGCATAACAATTTGGAAAATGGAAGAAGGCTGCCTACAGCTGGGGTGTTTAGGATCAATTTCGAATCAGTTTCAGGTGTGATTTAAATAGCCGGTGCTATAAAATGCAGAAATGGAAGCCTCCCCATAATGCTTCACGAGCAGGTACGATGTTCATTTGTATGGGCATGCTCTGGGTTCCTGCACTATTTCCTAGATAACCAGATAGAGCTGGTTGCTTTGCTAATCTTTCCTTCCCTACGCTCTGCTAATATTCTTTTCATCTTCTGTGCTTTTCTTTTTCTTCCTGTGGCTTGTGAGCAATGCTTGTATCATAGCCTGCTCTGCCTGAGTAATTCACTAAGAAAATCCCACGCAACCCTATGTGGGTGATAATATCTCATCACTTAAACCCGTAGGAGCATGGTGGACACATATCAAACGGGGAGAAAAATCGGTGCAGAAAAATGAGTGGGGAGAAATTTTGGACCTTACAGGGAATACCTCCTAAATGTTGCCTGGTGGGAGGGGTGGACTGAGGAAAGACTGCACAAGCTGAGGGTAAAGATGTATGCAGCACATTCTCCATTGCCTTCAGGGTTTTCAAACAATTCAATCAAGGAGGCAGGCCAAGGGTTAAGCATCAAGTCCGTTGGTCCCTTCCCCCACAATAGGATGCAAAAAAAAAAAAAAAAATACTGCTGCTCATCCAAAAGTCCAGCAACTCAGATTTGTGGGTATATGAACATTTGCAATTTAATAAGCAATACACACATGCAGTGCTTTGGTTCTGTTTTGTTTTGTTTTCCTCACCAATGTCTTCCATAAAGTATGCTGCCCTTTTACATACAGCTAATAATTATGTCTCTAATGCTAATGTGCAAAGCCTTACTGTTTGTGGTGTATATTAAACTCACCATGGGGGGTGCTGTAAAAAGCATCTGTTATCTTAATTTTCCATCCTTTGTCAAAGTCTCCCTGTGCCTAGATATGGTATACTAGATGGTAGCAACATATAGAGCTACCAATTACAGTGTGTGTGTGTTCATAGCTGACTGCATCCAAGGCTTCCTGCAAAAGGTAGCCAGTGAGGTCTTAAAGGCTATTCTTTCTTTGACCTGTAGTACAGGATCTCGCCTGGAGTAGAACTATTGGTTTGGTTATAAATTATCTTGATAAATTTCATAGCCTTAATATCTCTCCTTAGGATCCATTATTGAAATGTTATAAATGTTCAGCCAAAAACATGTATCAGCCATGCCTCTTCCTTTCAAATGGTGGTGAAAAAAAGGTTAAATATTTAGGGAGAGAAAGGAGTCTTAACTTCCTATAAGAAATAGAAAAAAATTCCCAAGGTTCAACCCATGGGATATCATGGACTGCGAACTTCTACACTTTTGATTTTGGACCTAAGAACAAGTGAAGGATGAACAATTCTGAGCTACAGCTAAAAGATCACTCTCAAGTATTTTTGATTGTAAGAGGGGCCAAGACAAATATGCATTTTCATGAAAGATGCCTGAACGGTATAACTCCAAATGTGAAAACGGAGTTTCTACCCTGGCATCTCCCCCACCCCCATTCTGGGAAACAGATTCCTCAGGCCAAAACCTAATATTGATCTCTTCCTTCACCTCCACACTCCCATTCTCTCCACGCCTTCATTTCCAAAGCGCACACATCCGCTTCACCCCAACACCATTTTCCTACAAGGCGTTAAATAAATCACCTTTTCCTCCCTGTTAGAAGTCACTTGTCTTTTGTGGCTGGCGGAAAGTGTTGATAAGGCAGGCAAACTAAGGAACAAAAATCAGGGGAGATGGAAGATGTTTTTGTAAAACCCAGGAGACTGTTTTAGGGAGAGACTGGTGAGCAAATCAGTATCGCTGATGATTCATGGTCACATTTCTCCCCTCTCTGCTTTGTTTGCTTTTGAAATGTATCACTGGTTTGCCTTCCATTGAGCTGGGGAATGTTCTCCTGTATCACCAGCACTCCCATTTCCATGCCTTCTGCCTCGTTTAATGTCTTACAGGTAGTCGTGTTTCTCCCATCCCACAAAATCCTAACTTTTCTCAGAGAATGAGAGAGAAGAAGACGGAAGTGACAATAACAGGATTAGAGCGCTACAGACTGGGGCTTCCAGTAGGCACAACTGCTTTTCCCAGATTAACTGATAAAAAGCAGAAGTCTTTGGAACCGCGCCCTCTTGTGGCCAGTTTTTCACCATTATTCAAAGAAGGAAATGTGTAACCCCTAAAGATTCAGAGGTTCAGTGAGGGGTAATACATAGCAAAGTTCAGAAGATAGGCAAGAAATGGGATGGTGGGACTCAATGCACTTTAATATGGCTTTCTAGGGGGAGCGAAGATACACAACCAAGCAAGCGTTCTTAGCCCCCTGTCTGGGCGTGGCATCCCCCGCAAAAGGGAGATTTATTTATGCGCCCTTTCCAGCAACATCAAGGCTGGGGGAGGGGAGCACTGCCCACTTCTTGATGTATCATTTGTCTTTCTTTCCCTGTCCTTTCTACCATAATTGCTATCAACTGCTAAGTTAATTATGAGATTCAACATTTGGCAGGAATGGAGATTCAATGGTATATTGTTATTGTACATTGACAGATCAACTACTGTCATCAGTCAAAAGCAGATGAAATGAGATATATCAGCCAGGGAGGCCTCTGATTTTAGTTTCATTGGCAATTAAAGTGATAGTTGGCTTGGCTTCATTCATCCCTATCTTTCCTTTGAAGAAGGGACTGATAATAAACAGTGAGGATTTGGAGCCAGTCAGGCAAAGAATGCAGTGAACTTGGGGAGCAATTTTGGGTGACAGCTGTAAAAAATGAAATCATTCTTATTTGTTGAAATGAATTTCAGAGCCTTAGAGTGATTCTTCACTGTTTAGCCAATAACGATTCAACAGCTACACTGAGCTGGGGAGGCACTTTCTACCTGAGCAAATGGGGTGAATTCAGTTAAAACATTTCAAGGGACTTCAGCTTTTGTGGTCCCTTTACTCCCATGACAATGTCATGACGTTTTTCAAGAATGAAGGAGAGGACAGGCCAAAATTAAACATGCATCCCCAAACTGAGGAATGTTGGGGTTGAAAGGTGCCTCTATAGCATACTCCTAGGTGATGCTTCATGGCTGGATTCTATGCTGTGTGAATAGTTATGATGAAAATAAAAACGCATGAACTTTTCTACTTGCCATTCCACATTGTTGGAAGTTTACTGAAGTTGAATTATTCCAAAAGCAACAAAACCTAAGAGTTTGCTATTAATTTTCATGTATTCACTACAATCATTCAGATGATAAACATGTTTTCGGGGTTTTCAAAATTGGCAGGAAAATGCCTCTATGTAGGGTACTTTGCTTGGAGAATAGATTATCTGCACAGCAATCATGAAATCAGTGAAATTACATGAAATCTACTTAGAGTTGATGTGTACAACTTCTCAGAGGAGAAAAATAAGCAACTGTAACAAACCACTTCTAAGAATCTGAAATCAAGACGTAAATTCAACCAGAAGTTTTCCCATTACAAATCTTACACTTTCGTCAATGTGTAAGTCCAATGAATTGCCTCATTTTCTCTCTAACTAAACACCAAACAGAGAAGTGAAAAAAAAAAAAAATGACAAGATCCCACATAACTGAGTGAAACATTGGCACTCATAGGAAGGCCATAAGTAAGAAAGAATGTAAACGGCCCAATTCTAAACGCCGAGAGAGTAAGGTTCTATACAAGTTGGTAAGTCAGAAGGAGAGAGATACTGCCAGGACTTGCTGTGGAGTTTAAAGTGTCAAAGGTACAGGTATCTTGCATCATATAATGCCATTAAAGCCAACTGCATTTGAGGCTATCATAGACAGGAATATAAAAATATATACGGGCCTCTTCTGGCCAAGACATGGAGTAGCCCTCTACACCACTGAAATCCACTCTACACACAAGGCCCAATGTCATAAGCATTTTCTTTCCTAGTTTTCTATGATTGAAAGTTCAAGGGAAATGAGGTAGCAACTTGAAAACTGCCACATGACTTTTCCTCAATAAGCATTAGGTGAAAAAGTCACAGTAAGCATGCTTTGCGGGGACTGCCTCAGGAAAGAGCTGCACCAGGAAAGACAGTGGGACCTTCCCTAAATTAGACAGGCTTCTGGGAGACATCTACCTAGCTAGGGAAACTGGTGGAACACCAAGGTTTCTCCCACAGTGGGCTCCAGAAGCCAGCAAGCTATCTGCTTCCCCCAAAAGATGCCCAGGTCTTATGCCCACTTTCTTGAAAAATAGAACATCTGAGTCAACAGGTTTTCAGGACTGGAAATTCTGAGTGTTGCCTTAATTGTTTACACTGCTGCAACAAACTTTGAAGCAAAATGCTGGGAGTCCCTGCACATACTTTACTGGCCATATGCTCTATCACACAACACAATGGCATTCCTATCAAATGGATTTGGCAAGGGATCCAATTCTTCAGCCCGGCGAAAGCAACATGGTATTAACACATCTGTGCGCCCAGCCTGCATGAGCTTGGAGGCATGCGAAAGATCTGGGTTCCGTAACTATTAAAAGAGCCTGGCTCCAAGTCCTCAGCTCATACTTTTGACAGGTATTTTGCATTCAGCAACAGGTTACTGTGGTCCTGGGCCAATGAGGAGAATCTATTTATTAAAGTTCTTCCCCTTAAGGACTGAATGAGAGTTCGGCACAGTATCTGAGAGCTCTCTGTCAAGGTTAAATTCCTTGGCACAGAGTTCTTAGTAACTTTACAAAGAACAAAACTGAGTTTTGGTGTATATGTGTTGGGGAGGGAGGGGGTTCATTTTGCTTTTCCTTTTTTGTCCAGAGACCAAAAGTCAGACTTCCCAAACTTACCTCTGGTTCACTATCAGTTGTCCCCCAAAGTAGCTTCTCACTGCCTAGGATGTGTTTCACACACAGACAGAGATTCCAAAGGTACAAATGACTGTCACTAATAAAGGTGCCCTGGTCCCTGTGATGTGGCCCAAGATCGGACTTTTTAAAGGGGAAGGCTGGCTTTAAAACAATGACTTTATCTGAGCCATTCCACCCGGATACCTGGGCACTCTGGCCCCCTACTCGTAGTGAAAGCTTCGGCTGGGGGCTGGAAGCTGCCTCTGCTCCCCAAACACCGGAATGTGCTCTGGCTTTCACCCAGGCTGCTCTGATCTGGTTTCACAGGCAGGGGAAGGGAGCCCCTCACGGACTGGCCCGGGAGCTTCCTCTCCGGGGACGGGCTGAGTTTAGCAAGTGTAAGCTGGTCCTCTCCTGACAGTCACTTAAGATTTCTCTTTCTGTGCAGTCCTCTCCCGCTCCCCTGCCACCCCTCTGTCCACTACCATCCCCTCTTCACTAATCACCTTCGCAGGCAGCTTCCAGCTGGAGGGAAGAGAAGGTCCTCCTAGGACTGTCAGAGAAACCTATTTTACTGCCCCCGCCCTACCCCCGCCCGCCAATGCCAGCACCCACCGACCTGACTCTGCGAACGTGATGATTTCGGAGGTCTGCTCCAGCAGCTCATTCATTTCCGCCCTCCTTCCGATGTCGTCTTCTAGCTCCACATACCCGTTCTCCCCCACTTTGCCCACATGAAGCTTTCTGATCGCGTTCAGAAGCGCCGCCTTGGGCACTGGCTGGGTGACATCGGGTCTCTTCTTCAAGTGCAGCATGTTTAAGATGTGCTTCTTAACGGCTTCCACCATCTCTGGCTGAGAGTTGGGTACATCCTTTGGGAGAGTGGCCAGCGCGCAGGACTGACAGTTGGGGGCTGCACTGTGCCCCTCGGATCCCGGGGTTGGGGAGCTCTTCACTATAATCCAGCAACTTGCCCACAGAAATCCTCGCAGCCAGAGCAAGGGCATCCTGGCAGCAAAAGTTGTTGTGATTGCCTCTTTAAAAGGCCCCGCTTTCCTCCCCCCTCACGCACAGGGTGGTGGTGGTGGTGGTGGTGGTGGTTGTTGTTGTTGTTGTTTTGGAATTTTTTTGTTTTTGTTTTTGTTTTCTTCTCCTCTTCAGCAAATTCTCTGGAACAAGAGCAAAAAGTTTTCTGTGAAGTTTTGTTTGCAGGTTCTCTCTCTGAAAGCAGTCAGGGTTGTAGGTTTGTGGCTGTCAGGGAGGAGAGTTCTGACTGTCTCCGAGTAAAAGAGAAGGAAGGAGGGAGGGAGGGAAGGAGGGAGGGAGGGAGGGAGAGACAGGGTGGGGGGAGACAGAGACAGAGAGAGGATGGGAGGGAGAGACAGGGAGAGAGGAGA